AATGAAGAAATATTATGGGATGAGACAGACCCAAAGAGTTGTAAAAGCAGAAAATTAGAGAAATTTTAGAATAAGTATCAATATAACCTCAGAAGAAAGAATAGCTTGGCCATAAGGACTCCAAGAGTACATGGAAGAAATTAGAAATAAAATTAGAGCCCTTTAAGAGAAAAATTAGAAAAAGAATAAATACCTTTTAGTCTAAATACCTTCTACTTATTCAAGTAGAAGAAACCCTGAAAAGTAGAATGGAACAATAAGAATTCAATGATTTCATGAGACAACAAGAAATATTACTACAAAGTCAAATGACTGAAATAGTAGAACATATAAAGTATCTATTATTAAAAATAAGTGATCTGGAAAAAGTAGGCTTTTTTTTTATCATGGCTTTCAGGTAATCTGATAATTCTTAAATTATCTCTCCTTAATCTATTTTCCAGGTCAGTTGCTTTTCCAATGGGATATTACATATTTTCTTCTATCTTTTCATTTTTTAATAATTTTGTTTACTTGTTTCTTGATGTTTCATAGAATCATTAGCTTCCACTTGCCCACTTCTAATTTTTAAGGAATTTTTTTTTCACTAAGCTTTTGCACCTTTTTTTCCATTTGGCCAATTCTGCTTTTTAAGGAGTTTTCCTCTTCATTGGATTTTGGTGCCTCTTTTACTATTTGGCCTATTCTGTTTTTTTAAGGTGTTGTTTTCTTCATTTTATTTTTTGCCTCCTTTACCAAGCTGTTGACTCTTTTTTCATGATTTTCTTGCATCACTCTCATTTCCTCCCAAATTTTCCCTCTGCCTCTCTTATTTGATTTTTAAAATCCTTTTTGAGGTTTTCCAGGAAATTTTTTTGAGTGTAAGACCAATTCAATTTTTCTTCAAGGCTTTAGATGTAGCAGTTTTGGCTTTGTTGTCTTCTTCTGAGCCTGTGTTTTGATCTTCCTTGTTAACAAGTAATTTTCTATGGTCAGAAGAATCTTTTTTTGTTGTTGGCTCATTTTTCTAGTCCATTTCTTGACTTTGAACTTTATGTTAAAATTGAGCTCTGCTCCTGGGGTGGAGAAGGCACTATCCCAAGCCTCAGGGTTTTTTTGCTCAGCTGTTTTCAGAACTAGTTCTGGGGATCTGTAAGTTTTTAGTTCTTCCCAGATGGTATGATCTAAGGAGAGCTATGTTTACTAATCTCCTGAACTGTGCTCTGGTCTATGAGCAATCACAAGCACTCTTTTCTGCCCTGGAACTATGACCAGGATTCCTACTTCCCTGCTGCCACAAGCTCTTGTATGCTAGTGCTCTACCTTGTCCTAGAACTGTGCTCCAGGATTGCAACCCAGATATTGAATATTATGCAATGCAACCGAGTCCTGCCACAGTGTCAGCAAAGAGACTCCTGTAGTCTCTTTCTGACCAGTTGACTGACTATCTTACCTTCTGTGAGCTCTAGAAGCTGCTGCTGCCACTGCTGTTTCAGTCACCCTGTTGTTGGTTTGAAAAGTCCAGGCCTGTGTTGGCACAACCTGTGCTGGACTACACTCCACGCTCACCCTGGTTTAGCAGACCTTTCCTGCTAAACCTTTCCTTTTCTTTTTTTCTTTTCTTCTTTCCTTCCTTCCTTCCTTCCTTCCTTCCTTCCTTCCTTCCTTCTTCTTTCTTTCTTTCTTTCTTTCTTTCTTTCTTTCTTTCTTTCTTTCTTTCTTTCTTGGCAATCAGGGTTAAGTGACTTGCCCAAGGTCACACAGCTAGTAAGTGTTAAGTGTCCGAGGCTGGATTTGAACTCAGGTCCTCCTGACTCCAAGGCCAGACCTCTATTCACTGTGCCACCTAGTTGCCCCTCCTGCTGACTTTCTAAGTTGTCTTGGGCTAAAATATTGTTTTATCCCATCCTTTTTTGGTTCTATCACTCCAGAATGCATTTTGAGGTGTTTTTTAAAGCTGTTTAGAGGACAATTCAGGAGAGCTCAGGTGAGTCCTTCCATTTTCTCCACCATATTGGCTTTACTCCTTAAATGAAAGCCAAAAAAAAAAACCTATCAAAGAGAGATAATTTAAGAATCACTAGACTTCTTTAAAAATATTAGCAAAGAAACAAAAAAATTGGATGCCGCATTTCAAAAAAATCCTAAATTTCCTTTGACTAATTAAAACCAGATGGAAAAGTAAAAATAGAAAGAATCCACTGATCATATCCTGAAAGAAATTCTGAATTAAAAGCATTTAGAAATTTCAAACCCAAAATTCAGAGCTTCTGGATTAAAGAAAAAAAAATTACAAACCAAGAATAATTCAAGCACAAGGAACCCTAGCTAGGATCACACAAGACTATGCTGCAACTATTACAAAGAAAGAAATGTCTGGATGGAAATCTGTTAAAATGCAACAGTAACAACAAATTTAGAACCATAAATAACCTACCCTACAAAACTGAATGTGATCTTTAAGGGGGAAAAATAATCTTGAATAGAATAGAAAACTTGCAAGCATTCCTAATTTAAAAAAAAAAGATCAGAGTTAGGTAGAATCTTTGAAATTCAAGAAATCTATACAAGTAAAGAGATTTGAGAACTCTGTCTTGCTTTCTTGCTTGTTTTTGATTCTGGGTTTCCCTATCTTGCTTAGGCTAGAAATGCAATAGCTACTCATGGCCCAATCTCACTACTCATTAGCATAGAAGCTTTGACCTACTCCATTTCCAAACTTGGTTGATTCATCTCTCCCTAAACAGTCTAATGGCCCCTCCTCCTGGGGGCTCACAATATTGGTGTTAGACTTAGTGCAGACATCTAAAGGAATTTATCTCACTGCATGTCATATTTCCCACACTCAAACTATCCACCAGCTTCAGTCTCTCTAGAAGCAGAGACTACGGGAATATACTACCATGTCTATCCATTTGAACGATTTGAAGGAGCTAAATGATAATCAAGTACTTACATCATAATGAAGGAGAAGAAACAATTGTCCCTTTAGAATTTTACTATATTACAGATTCATGAATAAAAAGAGACAAACGGGGACTTTGAAGTTCCTTTGAAGAAAAAACCTAGTTTGGCCCACTAGACTCAAGATTTAGCAGGCCCTGTCAACACTATAAAATTACTGTGCTTAATCCAAGTGCAGCAACCTCCACTCCCCACTCCCCCTACCCCAGCAAACCAAAGAAAAATTGAAACACCATAAAGGGGGGAAAAAAAAGAAAGAAAGAAACACTGTGAGGAAGTATCTTGGTTTAAGAGGTAAGAAAGTAAACCACAAAGAGGTAAACCACAATGAATAATCCCACAATATTTCTAGGTAAAGCCTCAGAGGGAAAAAAAATGCCCTGGTCACAGGGACTGCAGGAATATTTGGAGGAAATTTTAAAAGACATACAAAATGGAAAAATTAGGGAAGGAATAATGGAAAGGAAAATTAACACCATAAAAGAGACTTTGGAAAATCTCCCTCAAAAATTGAATGCCTCAAAAATTAAATTGGGCCGGACAGAAAACAATGACTTAATAAAAACAATTAGAAAAATAACAATAAAACAAAATGTGAAAAAAAGAAAATCTAATATTACATCAAAAACAATTGACCTGTAAAATAGGAGAGATAATCTAAGAATTATCAGACTCTTCAAATACTATGATCAGAAAAAAGTCTAGATATCATATCTCAGGAAATTATCAAAGAAATTACAAAGAACTCGCAGAACCATAGGATTAAGTACAAATAGAAAGAATCCACTGATCACCTCCAGAAAGACATCCTAAAATGAAAACTCTGAGGTTAAATTTAATATCATGAATCCACAATGATGGAGAAAAAGTAAATATAACTTTGTCAACATTCTAGAAGTGATCCTTGGTCCCTCATAAGATGAGTGCATCAGTTAGGGCATAAAATGAATCCTTTCTACAACTAAGGCCATACCTTTGTTCGATCCCCTCTTTGAAAATAAGTTTTCTCTAATAAACTTTTGAGGATGTTGCTATCCTACAAGACCACCGGACCCAGAATATGAGAAAGGTACTTGAAGACTCATAGGATATCTTTTACACCCTGAGCAACTATGGTGCATGGTTGCACGCAAGGTCTTACCCTATTTAAGTGTGCCAAATAGTGTATATGAGTGAGGGGGTAGGAAGGAAGGAACGAAATAATTTTTTAAAATAGCTTGCTCCTAATTTTTCCTATGTGGAGCCACCAACCCTGGCCAAGAGACTAATTTTAGTCCCTCCCAAAGATAAGAGGTCTTCCTCACGGTTCTTGACTTCCATAAAGATCACCTGTCTTTAGCTATTCCATTAATCAACTTCTAAATAACATTTATTAATTACCTGCTTTGCCAAGGACTGTACTGGAGACATAAGTACAAGGAATGAAATAATCCCTACTGGCAAGGAGTCTACATTCCATGCTCATAGGTTGTAAAGAAGATCCTGAAATATGAGATAATTTCTTTTGTGTATTGGAAGCACAAGAATGGGGGAATGTGAAGTGAGGACCCTAGGCCTGTCTTATTCTTTGCTGAGCTTCTACAGCCACTTGTTATTTTTTTTTGTTAGTAAGACCAGGTCTTACTAAAAAAAAAATTAAGGGAATCCATCCTGCCCTTAAGTAAAACAATGAGAGGCTTGTTTTATTTCTTTGTGTAATTTTGGATAATCTATTATTCATTAATATTTTATTGTTTCTCTGAACACCCTAAAGGAGCATGCTAAGGCTCAGCGGTTTGCTTTTGATTATATCCATTAATTTTGTGACTATCTCCATAGATTCATTTATCTCTCCCACAGCTGTCCTCTTGCCTTTACTATACCTCCCATCATTTGAGTCTGCACTTCCCGTTCTTTGATTCTTTTTCCCAAGATCATAACAAGTTTTGCTTTGCTCCATCTATTGAGAAATTATTGCTTTCAAGACCAAACTTTGAGTCTGAGGCAAGACTATTCCATGTGGCCCTGAGAAAAATGTCTAGGGTTTAGGGAGTTTTGTTTGTGATTTTTCATTATAGGTACAGGAGGGGAGCCTCTCATCTGTCTGGGAGCTTAAGCCAAGGGGATCAAGAGTCTAGGAATCCAGGCCAGAGGTTGCAGCCAGCCCAGCAACAATGCCCTGAGGGGCATGCGTCCAGGGCCAAGAGGCAAGTAGAAGCCAGCACTTTGGACTACAACTTGGTGTGACTAATGGTATATAGGAACTGAACTAAATTGTAAACCTAATCTCCATCCTCTCTCTAGAGACTGAGGTGACTGTGGAGAGGGGGAGGGAAATAGGCCCCTGAAGCATTGGGAAGAAAGGCTTGTACACTTATTCTTGCCATATCTCTGAAGTAAATATCCCTTTGCAAAAGCTAATCTGGTATAGAGTAGTTAAATGGAACTGGGGCACAAGTCAAAGTCCCTAAAATAAAGGAAATGCAATTAGCTGGGGCTCAAGCCAATGTCAGAGAAAAGAGACTTTGCATACCCCTCAGGAGGACAGTGAGGGAGATAAAATATATCAAACCCGGCCTTCAGTAAGTGGGTCCAGAGCATTTATGTTCCACAAGCAAATGTGACAAAAGGACATAAACTAGAAATAAATAGATTCCCTGAAAACTGTGAATAAGGGACAGTAAGGTAGCATGCACAGTGGATAGAGCCCTAGACCTAGAGTCAGGAAGGTCTAAGTTCAAATCCAATTGCAGACACAAGGTCACAACTTCCTGGTACCTCAGTTTCCTCGTCTATACAAAAGATATAATAATGGTACCTACTTTCCAGGGTTGTTGTGAAGATAAAATAAGATCATATTTTTAAAGCACTTTGCAAAGGTTAAAGCTCTATATAAGGCTAATTATTAGTATGACAATTATGTTTTGGGAATTAATGAGAGAAGGATTCCCAGAATTGTTCAAACAAAAAGACAGAATCCACAGGATGCCAATTGGTGTGAACCTCAGAATCAATTCACCCAGCTATATTTCTATCAAATACTATATCTACCATGTTAAAATGATGCTTTTAAAGGTTATTAGAAGGAAAACCAGCCAAAAAGGCATAGCAGTTGGAAGCAGTGCAAACCAGCTCTTCCCCACTACAACAAAGTCACCAAGTAGTAGTTCTCAAAACAATTTGGTACAGTTTAAAAAATATAAAAATCAACCAGAAGAACAGATTAGGTATACAACATAAAGAAGCAAATCAATCCGGTAGCCTAGATAAACACAAAGCCCCTCAACTACTGGTACTCATTACTCACTATTTGATTTAAAAAAAAACTTCTGGGAAACTTGGATATTAGTACAGAAGAAATTAGATTTAAGTTAACAACTCACACCTTACACCAAGATAAGCTCAAAATAGAGCAATGTCCTAGTTATAGAAAGTCATATCATAAGCAAATTAGAGAAACAAGGGAAAAATAACCTACCAAAGCTATGAACAGGGAAAGAGTTTATGATCAAATAAGAGAGAGGATTACAGAAGATAAAACAGATGATTTTGATTACATAAAATTTAAAGGATTTTGCACAAATGAATCCACTATAACTAACATTAAAAAGGAAATAATTTACTATGGAAAAAAAATCTTTGCAGCAAGTTTCTCTAATAAAGGTCTCATTTCCAAAATATAAAAGGATCTGACTCAAATTTATAAGAATAAGATTCATTCTCCAATTGATAAATGGTCTAAGATATGAACAGTCAGTTCTCAAGGAAAGAAAACCTGGCATATCTGTAGCCATATGAAAAAGAGCTCTAAATCATTAATAATGAGAGAAATGTAATTTGAGGCAATGCTGAGGTTTTATCTCATACACATCAGATTGACAAAGATAATTTTTTTAAAGTGTCAAATATTACAGGGGCTTTAGGAAAATAGGCACATTGATGTACTCTTGGTGGAGCTATGTATATGGAAAGCACTTTGAAGTTATATAAAAATGTATTAAACTATGTACAGGCATGGACCCAGTATACCACCACCTATACCCCAAAGAGATCATAGAAGAAGTGAAAAGGATCCATATATATAAAAATATTTATAGCAGGTCTTTTTTGAGGTGGCAACAATTGGAAACTAAGGGGTGCATATTGATTGGGGAAAGAATGAATTAATTATGGCAAATAAATATAATGGAATACTATTATGCTATAAGAAATTTTGAAAGGGCAGTTTCAGAGAAAAATCTTGGGAAGACTTTTATCAACTGATGCAAAGAGACACATAGACCTCTCCTGCCAGAAAGGTGTTCCACTCAGGGTGCAGAATGAGGTATGATGTGTGTGTGTGTGTGTGTGTGTGTACAGAGAGAGAGAGAGAGAGAGAGAGAGAGAGAGAGAGAGAGAGAGAGAATGAACACCAACGCTGGAAATTGGTTTGATTTAATATTTGGTATTTGTTATAAAGGCTTTCTTTTTCAATGTGAACTGAATAAGAGAGAGAAATGGCAGATTTTCATTCTTAGAAAAAAAAATTTAATTTAATTTTAAAACATACCAAAAAAAGTGACCAAGAAGGAAAGCAAAGAACATCAATCTAAATTGGATGGGATTTTTCATATAAGATATGGAACAATGAAAAGAGCAAAAGTATGCATAATGAAAATGAAAGTAAATTGAGTTTCATCTCAAAGTCAGCTTACCAGTTTAAATGAGTATAATAGTCAAAAATAAAATGTTATTCTTTAGAACAGAAATTTCAGAAATTTGTAGAAGTATGAGCAAGCTTTGGGGTGACTGATGCTAAACAAACCAACCAAAATGTACCAAGGTAAATCTAAAGCAAAATTTAACAATTAGGAATACCTAATTCCTGACTTAACATAAATGCTAAAAAGGGATAGAAAAATAAAAGGTTTTTGTTTGTTTGTTTGTTTGTTTGTTTGTTTGTTTGTTTTTACAATGTACAACTATCTCAATATCTCTGGAGGTAGTGCAATGATAACAAAAAAAGCATTGTTCTGATTAATAGCTATCTCAATATCGATACGATAGAAAGTTGTACATGGAGTCTGCAGTTGGTGTGCTTACATAACAGGAAGAACATTTCAATTGGTCTTCCTCTGAGGACTGCAGGGGTACATATGAAAACATAAAAGCAAGTAGCTTTGACCTGAGTATCAGCTTCCTCAACATAACTCACATGGAAAAATACAAGTCAGTAACACAGTTGCCTAGATTAAGCACTAAAGAACCCAAGCAGATCTGGGGGATGGGGAACTGAATAAAGAAATAAAAATTTGAAAAATGAAAATGAGAGAGGAGAAGAATAATTTTATTATGAACATTACAGTTGGCAAAACAAGAAAAAGCTAAGGGGAGGATAGAAAAAGCTGCGCAATAAATAAATTCTTATCTAAGACAGGGTAGAGGGCAGAGAACTTAAATTGTTTTTCAAAAATTAAGAAGTACCAGTAAAAGTTGTAAGAAGAGTGTTTAGTGGCGTGTAGGAGGTAATGGAGGTAGAGGAGTGATGGAGGTGTCAGGGAGGGCAGGTGGGCACAAGGGTGCACACCAAAATTAGAAATGGATCACGTCTAGGAAAGTGGATCTGATCACATCATCTAAAGACAGAATAAGGCAAAGCAAACGTGGTTAGCTATGACAGAACAAAACTCCATTTATTAGACTTTTGAAAGAGCTTCTCTAATTTGGCAGCCTCGCTATTTACAGGGATGAATCTTGACATGCCTTTTTAAAAAAAATCTCTGCCCATAGTGTTTTGTGAGTCCAACTCCAGTTTGGTAAGAAGTGGCAAATTGTCCGTTATTCCAGGGCAATCAATAATTAGAAAAAAACTTTAGTTCCAGCAGACAACTCTCATCACTAGGCACACACTGTGTCTTAGATTGCTGATAAGGGTGGATGTAAGGATGAACCAATGCCTCTTCGGTTCAGGATGACCTATTAATAAAGTATCCTAAACAGACTTTCCCTTCCTCTTTCCCTTCAAAACCAAATTTCTCAGAATCCTGTTCTTTTTTGTAATGCACCTGGGTCAACGCACTGTTTTTTTGTTTGTTTGTTTGTTTCGGTTTTTGTTTTGGGGTGTTTTTTTTTTTTTTTTGCAAATTACAGTATCATCAAGCTACCAGGAAGTTCAATAGCTACTATCCTATGTCTATTCAATTATCTGGTTCTTAACCAGATATCCAGTTCCCAACTGGAACTTCTTCCTTTCAAGTCAGATAAGAATACACACATCAATTACGCATTGCTCTCTCAACCAGAAAGTTCTCTTTGCCTTCTTAACCAAAGCAGAAACCGAAAACCAAAGCTGGAGGGGAAGGCAGGAAAGGGGAGGGAGTGGGAGAAAGGATGTCTTGTTCCCTCCGTTTTAAGGCTTGTTTGCAGAAGGCTGCTAAAGAATTTGGAATATTCCATTTTTACATTTTATGAAAAGCCTCATAAAACTTCAATATTTGTACATGGTGCTTACCAACAACTTCAGAAACCAAACTGTCCCCATATGTCATAGCTATGGACTGAGAAAAAGAAATGTCGCTGTTAACCAGAAAACAAAAGGTAACTTTTATCTGCTGCAATTACTCATTTGCCTTAAGTTGTGTTTGGCTTAGATGCTGACATTAGCCATTGCTTGATCTTTTGCTAACAACTAGATTAAAAAAATAACAAGGATGACTGTGCACATATAAAACATTTGCATGTGCTTTGGGGTTTGGGGACCATGATTTCACTGATGTGGGAAACTCCCTCTATTGATGTAGGCCAACAACTTGCCTGAGAGGTTAAGTGACCTGCTCATGGTCACACAGTTAATATATGACCGAAGTAGGACCCGAACTCAGTTCTTTTTGTTTCCAAAGCCTACCCTCTACCTCTATGTCATCCTGGTTCTCTTTTATTTTTGCATTTACATAGAGAACATATACTCATGGTTCACATTTAAGCTCTTCTGCCATCAACTTCATCTCCACATTTTGGGTTTTCTCTTTCCCTGAATCAGACATGGTTAGAGTTTTCTGTTGCCCAAAATAGTGCCTTAAAAGCTTGAGAATTACTTTGCATATAGGAAGTATTGATAAAATGTCTTGCTTGATTGATCAGCCCCTTTCCCTAACATAATGTGGCAGTAATCCTATATCAAAGCACAGGAGCATGGCTTTG